TGTATTCGTATTAATACGTATATCATACACATACATATTCGTATTATTACGTACATTATACGTCATTTTATATATTCGTATTAATACGTATATTATATATTAAAATTTTTCAAATTTTATGTATTCGGGTGATTTTTAATGAAAATGTATTCATAGAAGCTTGTATTCTTCATTATGTTATTAACTTTACATTTTTAATTTGCGCTTTAATTTCTTTGCTAGAAATATTATACTTTTTCGTTGGTGGATGCCATTTTTCTCTGAAAAAGAATTCTTTTATTACTGCTTGGACGTGACGGGAGAATTTCTCACAGAAAGAATAGTTTTAATAAACACACTGCATTTCTCTTTTTTTTTTTTGAACGTCCAGTGAGAAGTGTGCAGCGCATGCATAGGTAGAGTCAGGTAGTGTCGGAGACTTCCAACCCTTCCAGCGAGGTTTCCATCGATCACAGTGCGAAATAAGGAAGGAAACAGCTCTCCCCCCGTGTGCTCCCCAAGAAAGGTTAATATTTTCCACTTCCTTCCGGACTTGCGACCTTCCCCCTGGCTGAAGCTCGTCGTAACTCGTTTAACCGGCGTGCGTGCGAGTACGTAAACACTCGGTAGGGTGACAGGGAAGTTATCGGCCGCTCCCAGCATCTAAAACTGCCTGCCATGACACGCCGTTCGCCTCTTTACGCAACGACCACTTTACGCACGCGTTCACGCCTACGGGCGAGCAATTAGCCGCCACCGGTGTTCGAAAACTTGCAACTTAACGCTGGAAATACACCGAAGTGAAGCAACCAATTCGTAATTCTTCATAGGAATTATGCAGATATTTTAAAAAAATCGTTTAAAATGGTTTCTCGTAAATTATCAATTCGTAATTCTTCAATTATGCAGATTTCGCTTTCTCGTAAACTACGCGAATTAAAGCTCGTCTTGGATCATAAACTTTCCTTTGATGAGCAGCTTTTTGAAATTTTCTACTTTATTCGTTATTCCAGTGTTAAATAAGCACTTTCGTTGTTGCTTTTTTCACGAGAAATTTTGCAGAGTTTTCTCGTAAAGTACGCGAATTAAAGCTCGTGTTCTTCCACTTGGATTATAAATTTTCTTTTGATGAGCAGCTTTTTGAAAATTTTCTACTTTATTCTTTATTCTAACGCACTTTCGTTCGTTCGATTTTGCTTTTCTTCACCGAGTTCGTCGCGATTTAACAGGGAACGATCCAGGATACATGTATGTATATCGTTTGGCTGGATTCAAACGAAACAACTCTATTAGAATTTGAACGAACATTATCGTGTTATGCGCATAGTGACTCAGTGATCACTCTCGTGTCTCTACTCCCGATTAATCGAGGCCTCTTATTTTTAATCAACTACTTTGAGGTCATCTGCACTTATACCGAATGAACTTCAAGTCGTGTAATTCGTCGTTAGACATACATAATTAGCCCGCAAAACGTGAACGCGAAATCGTCGAGAAGAAGAGCGTGTTGTCAAGCGTATTGTGCGCATCTATGGAACTGCAACATCAGATGCCATTAGACGCATCGTTTTTTTTCTTTTTTTTTTTCCTTTTTTTTCGCGAGGGCGCCTAAGCTTCTTTTCACAGAACAGATTGAGGATCGCGCGCTCGGCGAATCTGTTACGTTCGCGTTTTTTCTGCACTTGTGTACGACGTTCGGAGCTTGCTGTTTCAAAAAGATCGCGACAAAGGGTGCCCTACAAAACGTGCTTACATAATGGTGACCCTCCCCCTCCAGTGCCCTTTTTCGTGCCTATTTTGTCGGCGCGTACCCGTTGCCCCATTGTCTTTACCTGCTTCGCGAAGAAAAAAGAAGAAAACGGTATCGACAATGCGAAAAACTAGGCTGAGAACGAACGTTCGTTATGCGCCATTTTTTCTCGCCTTTGCGCCCATCCACGGAGTCTAATTTTTTTTATCTTCTACGTGTGTATATCACAGGCATGCATTTTTTTTTGCCCCGGGTGAATTGACAAATCTGTTTCGGGACAATTGACGCATTTATAAAGGCGTCTACTTATCAAATTTTGGAAGCAAGATGCTGATCCTGAGGTTAAGGAGGTAATCCGGCATGAAAAAATCGACTATTTTGGGATTTTTTCTAAGGGAACCATGATACATTTTGGTATGCAGTTTTCGTACACAGATTTATTCATACTTAAAGAGTATATTTGCAATTTTTTTTGGGTAAAGCATGTTTTTAAAAACGGGTTCGAATGGCTGACGTGATACCTGTTGTTTGAAACTAAGAAACCAAAATGCACCAATTAGTATAAATATGGCTATCGCATGTACCATCGAAACAGCAAAATTTCAAAAATTAGAAAAATGGCAGCATTTTGAAGTTTATATATCGATTTTCCTTGTGCTTTTTGTCTTTTGGGTGGTAAACAAAAATAGAAAAAAAAACATCAGATTTTGAAATTCGTGGTTCATGCGATAAAGGTATATCCGATGAAGATCTCCTCCAAATTTCAAGTCAATCGGTCAACTAGAACGTGAGATATACCGTCAACCAGTTTAAAAAACATGGATTTGAGAAAAACACATTTGAAGTTCTTGTTACCCCTATTCATACTTACAATCAATCGAGCCAAAATAATTACCAAAAATAAAATATTATAAAATAATAATAATATAAAAATAAATAACAATATTATAAAATAAAATATTCTTTTGAGAAAAACACTTTTGAAATTTTTGTTGTCCGTTGCACAAAATATATTCATACTTACGTTACGCAAGCAGCACACCGTTTCCTTTAAACATCTATAACTTTGTTAATTTTACGAATTCAAACAAATTCGTTTACATGGACACTTTCGAAATCATATACTTTGAAAAAATGTAAAAGAAAAAGATTGATTTTTTTACGCCGGATTACCAGAATACCTCCTCTCTTTTCGATTTGAGGTCAGGTTCTCTCTTAGTCTCTCACATCAGTGAGATCTCGAAGGCTGATCAACTTACGTTACGTTATGATACGTTAATAAAGTGATGAAACGTCGCGATTACGCCTCGCCTTCTTTGTACTTTCGCCCACTTTCACTCTCTTCTGCTGCGTTCGAACGACAAGATAGCGGGGTTGCATCTTTTTTTTTTTTTTTTTTTCTAAATACGAGACGCCTGGTTTTCGGTGCCTAGCCTAGTTTCGCTCATCGATAACCGCGATGTGCGCGAGCCGATGTGTTGATTGAAACAGCAGCTGTTTGCGCAAACTATTTTCGTGAACTATTTTCGGATGTGAAATTGAAAAATCGATGGCCAACTCGCGTGTTCGTCGTTACGTGGTTGGACAACTTGGACGAGCTCCGATATCGGAAACGGAAACCGCCGTGATAAGCACGCAGAAGTGGTAGATATCGTGGACCACGAAATAGCTTGAAAGCGCTTGAAAACTTGAAATATTCCTCGAACGAGTGTGAAGCAGATCCTTTCATCTGGCGATCAAAATGACAAAGATTGCACTTGCTAGATTGAGAATTTGCAGAGTCCGGCGCTGATGTCGCGGTGAAATCATCGATGACGAGTCGCGAGAGAAACGGTGTGACACGTCTCGACGAGGATTAGACTTTCGATTCTTCCTTCGGGGCAAATAGCCACGCGATAGAAACCGCATTTTCAGCGCGTACGCCGATCGTTCAACGAATACACTGTCGTCGTACTAAATATACAGAGTGTCTTGTGACTGGTGGTGTGAAAGAAAGCTGCGATTCTGCTAATAAAATGCTTTGCATTTGGTGTACTGTTTTACATTTGTAATTTTAACAATCGAATTGAGATAAAACGGGCTGAAAAGGAAGAACGAAATTGTCTTCGAGAAAACCGAGTTTAAATGTTTATCAAATATAGTATTTATTTGTCAAAAAATGTGAATTTAATTAATTTCGTACTAGACAGGCGTGAGTAATCGACACGAGGATATTCTACGCGCAAAAGTGAGTGAAAAATGTAGAACAAAGTTTTTCTCGTCATTTTCAAGAAAATAGGCTTTGAATAAAGTTTCGTTAAAGATTGCCTTGGTAGAGCACTTGACAAAATTTTCAAACTCAATTCACTCGAGAACGAGGCACTTGTATGTCTTACATACAAATTTTACTCTACATTCTTGACTTACTTTCGCACATTCTGCCAGAATAACATTCTGTCAATTATTTTCTTTCGTCACGTCTAGAATTCAATTAAATTCAAGTGTACTCGACAAATATTCAAACACGATCTTCTTGAAAACGAACGCTTTAACAAACAAATTTTATTCCTTCTTTCCAGCTCGTTTCTTTCATATGGAATTGTGGTTTTATTAATGACGTGTCACGCTATGTATTCAATATCAAAAATTGGAAAATCACCAAAGACAATTGTATCAAAAGGCAATTCATACGTTTCGTGAAAAAAAAAAAACGATCATTCGTCTTGTAACGAACAACATCACGCAAGGGCTGATGAAAAGTGCGCCTACTTTTGAAGAGGAGGGGAAAAAGTCAACGTATTCGAAAAGACAGGTCATCACGGTGCTCCCGTTTCTCAACACAAAGACCATCACGCTAGGAGCGTTAATTTATCAAAACGAGATAAAACCGATGTCATCGTCGCGGATGGCTCGTCCAAAAAACCGCGAACAATGGCGATCTGGCTCGCCGAGTCGACAAAGGAGTCGAAAAAGTCGGACAGGGATTGGTATCTTTGCGATCTCTCGCGATTGCCCTGGGGGCAATCATCTTTTATCTCTCGCAACACTCGAATTATCCGGGAAATTTTCGCGGCGAATGAAATTTCCGTCACGGAAGGCGCGATTATCGCCGTTAGTGGAACATGAATTAGCATGCAACCTGCTTGGCGAAACACTCGAGCCGGAACGCGCGCGGAGAATGCGAACGTTCTTTTCTTCTTTTCTTTCTTTCTTTCTTTCTTTCTTTCTTTTCCCCGCCCATATGCGATAACTGTATGCATTTCCTCCGTTAATCAAGTGTACGTGTTTTCAGGTGATCGGTAACGGACTGAGGACCGACGCGGGCAGCTGCGACGATTTAACAAACGGTGAGTCACGCATCGTGTCGTCGACGCATCTCTCCGACGCTCCTCTCTTATCGTTTCACAACGAGATACGTACGCAGCGTATCTAGGGCCCGTTTGCTCTTGTAAATAGCCCTGGCTGACTATAAAAAGCGGCACGGATCAGATAGTAGAGAAGCGTCGTCGGTACGCTTTGGTTTCATTGATCAAATCCCGTGGTGAAAAGACCCACCACCATTCACGCTCCCCCTAACGATCGCGCACCCCTCCGCTACAACATTGGACATTACGGTTCGATAATATTCGTCTACACTGCATTTTCTCTTTCTTCTTTCGCACATTCGCTACTCTTTCCTCGTCGTTTGTAAAAATGAAGGGAAAGAATTCTTTGCTCTTCGTTGAGATCGCTTTTCTCGAAAGATTAATCGTCACTCGTTATTTGCATTAGTTTGTAGCTTTGTGATATATCGGGTCATCGCGAGTATATTTGATTATGCTTATTATTCGTGAATAATATATCAATATATTGTTACATATGTATATTTTGTATATTATGTATATTATACATATGTATATCATGTATAATATGTATGCTACAATATTATGTATATTATACATATGTATATCATGTATAATATGTATACTACACTATTATGTATATTATGTATATGTTTATTACAATATTATGTATATTATACATATGCATATTATGTATAATATGTATATTACAATATTATGTATATTATACATATGTATATTACGTATAATATGTATAATATTATACATATGTATATTACGTATAATATGTATAATATTATACATATTATACATATGTCTATTATGTATATTATACATATTATACATATGTATACATATAATATAACATATTACATAATATATCCATATTCCATAACATTCCGTAATATATCCTTATTATTCAGTAATCGTGAATTTACTTGCCTGCAAAGGGACAAGGAACACACTTGAAAATTCTCGTCGACTTGTCCACGGCACAAAAATGGACGAGACCGCGCACAAAAAGAACGAGATTGCGCGTAATTGGAAAATAGGCGGGAGGAGCTTGGGGGGGGGGGGGGGAGGGTCGCGGTGGCGGTTCCACGACAAATCCGGCAAACGGTTACGGCCCTGACTTTGCCCTTCGGTCATTATCATCTGTCGGAGCGGTCGTCGCATTTTCTCACGCTACTTCAGCTGCTGCTGCTGCTGCCTGCCTGCCTGCCTGCCTGCCTGCTCGCGCGCGCACAGTGCAATGATCTCCCTCCCGTACCCGCACATCTGCCACAAAATTACATCCTGACCGGGCCTGCATTTTTATTCTCTCCCACCGGCCAGTTCACCCTTGCCCGGCTCCTCGTTCGTCCACGCCCGATCCCCCAGCCCAGGCGCGTTAAATCTCCGAAGAAAACGCACTCGGCTGTTCCCTCGTCCCACGAATGATCGATCGATCGATCGTTCCGAGCGAATCACTTTCGATGAAACATTGTCCACACCTGCCTTTCGATCGTGCTTCTTTTCGTCTCGTTTTCGCAAAGGGAAAGATCGCGTGATTCTAGGCAGAGAGATTAGGCGATTTCACAGCGACCGTTTCACTTTCGCCGCCGATCCCTACCGAGGTATACTAATTAACAATAAGCAATCGGAACTAAGCCATTTTCTGCATTTGTAAATTATGATTTTTTACTATCATAACTATAACTATAATTTTACTACCATAACTATAATTTTACTACCATAACTATAATTTTATTAGCATAACTATAATTTTACTACCATAACTATAATTTTATTACCATAACTATAATTTTACTACCATAACTATAATTTTATTATCATAACTATAATTTTACTACCGTAACTATAATTTTACTACCATAGAATGATTATTCTTGCTAATTTCATAACTTACAATTAGGGAAAGTTACCTTCCAGTGGGAATCGATTCCGAGACATTTCTCGTTGATTTTCGTACCTTTTCTTTAACCGACGAAAGCGATTTGCTTCGTTGAGTCCGATCGATTGTCGATCGAAGGAAAATTGATCGTTATGTGAATTGAAAGAGGTCGCTTTCTTCCAATCGAGTTGTAGCACCTCCTTATTTACATCTGACATTTCTTCATCTTGGTATTCGAAAGCGAAACTGTTGAAATATACTGAAAGGTATGTTAAAAGCATCATCGATTCGATTATTCGGGCAGAAATGTTTCCGAGGTTGCGAGGTCCAACGTTTCGCGTTTACGCTTCCGGAATAACAGTAATCTCTGTAATTACATAACGTTTTCTCCGAGAGACTCGGAGAAGTCTGATCGAAATCGTAAAGATCGATAGATTTTTAGAACAACTCGAAAGACCGTTGGTGGGAAAAAGAAGAAAAATGAATGAAAGAGTGGAATCGAAAACGATTCTACGAGGTATTCTTTACTTTCATTCTCCGATTGTTCTTGCTGGAAGCGATTTCGCGGTTTACGGTGTGTTTCTCGGTCTCGCGAGCAATTTGATTCAGCGAATCTACAAAAGATCCGCTCGTCACGAAACGTGTACGTGATCATGGTGTCGCGGTTCGATGGATTTTCGCTCGTAAAATCGAACCACGCCGTCGCGAAAGTTTGCTCCCACCTTAGATTCTCTTAGTTTCGCTTTGAGCTACGACACTAAATTATTCATACGATCTTGTTCATTTTTTTGCGGTTTACAGACACACGATCTTTCCACATTTGCGTTGCGTTTCAACGACTTGGCAAATTAAAGGTCGAATCAATCCCTAATCGAGCCACAAGCTCCTCCAAATTACACTTCTTTCTATTCTATCGGGGGAAAAATAAATAAATAAATAAATAAATAAAAATGGAAGATGAAACATACAAGCAAGCGTTTCAAGGACACGAACATGGTAATTTTTACGAAATCGCGCGTGTCAGGCACGAAACCGTGACTCACTGTTCTGCCACCTCCTTCGATGCGTTTTTCAGTCTGTCGATAGGTCACGCGAGATCATCCGGCTAACTCCCACGCGACGATCAAAGGAAAGAAAAAAAAAAGGGAAGAGGCACGCGTTAATTGCACGATACCGCGACGTTACGTCGCCGTGTCGTATCTCGCTATTCCCTATCAGCCTTTTGTCACGGTTCTATTCTCCTTTCTTTTTTTTCAGTTAGAGAAACTTTCTCGCGCGAAGGATTCTGGAAGGATTTTGTCCTTTCAAGAAAACTGTTTTCTTAGGAAACGTGAAAACACGACTAAGAGAAAAGAGCAAATTATAACAAGAGATGGGTTGAAATAGAATTCTTCGATAAATATCTGTATAACCTATGGCGATGAATGGCAATGAATGTAAAATATTACGAAACCCTTTGTGTTTCTATGCACGAAGAGAATTGCTCCTTTGCTGGAAGAAAAAAGAATAGGATTGTAACAAGGGATTAAAGTAGAATTCTTCAGCAAATATCTGTATAACGTAGCCTGCGGTGATGAATGAATGTAAGATATTACGAAAATATTACTGTAGCGCGTTGTACGGCTGCGAAATGTGGTTGAATCGCCGTGGAAAAGCAGATCTTCACGGCGATTAAATCGACAAACGATAGGAAACAGGTTTCGGGGATTCCCTAGGTCGTAACAGAAGAAACTGCCGGAAGAAAAATGCGTTCCAGCTGGGTATAAATCACGCGAGATACCAAATGGCTCTCCCCTACTGGTGTGTTTCTAAGATAATTCCTGCCTCGAGGAACCTTCGTGAAACTTTTGAAATTCCACGAACTCTTTGCCAGTGAATGTCTACCGATCGTAAAAAAAAAAAAAAAAAAAAAAAAAAATAGTAAAGAAACTTCTAAGTGTAAACTTTCCAAATAAGTAAAATTAGTCGTTCGTTGTACGTTTTTAGATACGTGTATCCGAAATAATAGTCAGGTTTGGAATTGGAACAACCGCGCTTTCTCACGACAATTTCTACGTGGCGAGCGACGTGCCTGGTATTCGTGAATTCCAGTATCGTCTGTTCTTGTCATCTTGTTCTTTGCGTTGGCGTTCGTCCGTTCAACTCGCGAATTCGGTTGAACGCGTTGCTAAAACGCATTGTTTACCTCACGTTGGAGGGCATGAGAAGGTAGGTACGTGGCCGTCTGTTCCGCGTACTTTGCTATCCGATTAGCGGCTATGCGAAGCCTTACGTAAAAGTATATAGAAGTTGCCTGTTTGATACGGCTCGCGCCCGTCCGGAAACGCGCTCAGTGCGATCTGACGCGATGTGCGAGGAGGGTTCCGTGAGGGAGAGAATCGCTTTGTTGGAGGGTGAATAAAAAGCTGACCGCGAAGATCTAACCCGCTCGCCGCTCGAGCTTTTCGTTCCTTGCTCTCGAACTAAACGGCCCCTTTAGAATCCACCGCCCTGTTCTTTCATCCTCTCTCTCTTTCTCTCGCTTTCCACTCATCCTCTTTTCTGATCTCACTTTATTCAAGGTATAATGGATCTAACCGATCGTAACTTAGTTCCTTTATAAATATTTCCCTTGCCTTTCTCGCACGTTCTCGCTTCTCAAAACACACGCACGCGATGAATCAAGTCCGATCTCTAATTGAGTCAGACATCTAATATCCAAATGTTTTTTTCTCACGACAGTTTAGTATTTTATGCTTGTTTCTTTTTTTTTTTTTTCAGGAAAGAACATGGCACCGGTGTTGGGTGTACCACCCCCTCCTCCACCTGCCCCTCACATGGGACCAGACGGCTTAATCTTGCCGAGGAAACCGTTCAACCCTTGCCTCATCTCCAGCAATCACAAGGACCTTCGCAGGGAATTATTATTCAATCAGAAAGTGTAAGTCTCTTCCAGAAGTTGAATTCTTTTTATATAACACTCGCGTATATGAGGTGGTGTCTAGTTGCTTTGTTGCAACGTCGAGAATCGTCATTATTAACAACTGCATGAACTTTGGACTTGTAGAATCACGTTTTATGTGTCCACGAACCTTTGAATGGCAATGTACGTGCAATAACGTTCGCGGTAACGGGAAAGAGACACGCGCGTGGCTTTCGATGCCATGCCGCTTCGCACGCCTATTATCACCGAGAAAATCGTTTTCTGCCAGCGTACGCTAGGCTCTAGGCTTGTACGTGTATGGCGGAGACGTATTCTCCGGGCACGTGTGTTTGCGACTCATTCCCAGGCACTTTTACGGTTTAAGCAGGGCCGCTATTCAATCGAAAGGTTGTTCACGCGCGTTTTTCTTCATCGTGGCAATTTTCACGCGAAGCCCGCAGCACGCTCGCTGCCACGCGTAATTAGCTAACCGCATCGGTTTTCACTTTCTTTCAGCGGCAGGAACGTGCTGAATCAGAAGAGCGAGCTCCAACGGGCACTCGAGAAGCAGAGGGAGGCTGCCTCCAGGAGAGAGGCTGAAAGGAATCGGGAAGAGAGTTATAAAGACGATCCGAGAACCGCTTTGCAAAGGGCCATCGAGCAAAGGGCGAAGCATATCGAGATGGCAGTCAGTGTCTCTCTTCTATCTTTATCTTCTTTCTTTTTTTTTCTTTTGTTTTCTTCGGTTTTTCTCTAGTCACTCGAAATTCACGAGCTTTCTCTGAAAAGGGGTCTACGGGTCAGTGGCAAAAACGTGGGTGAAGTGTGTATCTTTTGTTGGTTGAATTTACTCAATCTACTCGTTTTGTCTTGGGACGATTTCTTCTTTTCTCGACCTCGTAGAGTTAAGCTATCTCGAGAATACTAACGTTTTGGTTTCTTTCAGTTGGAACAGTCGCAAACGACGACGGAGGCACCGAACAACCTTTTGGTGACAGCAAGAGCGAAGTTGAAACCGCGCACAGATTCGCAATGAAGTTACGTAAAATGAGAGAGAGAGGGAGAGAGAGAGAGATAGAGAAGGACGAAAAGAAACGCAAGGAGAGACGCAAAGAGAAAAGTCAATCGTGAAACGTGACACGTGCATTGTCGCACGGTCAACGAACAAATTGCGTTGCACCGCTGGCTCTCGTCACATTCTGTATCTCGACCATGTACATATATGTTTAATTCGATGAGAATTCGTTGAAAATGAACTAGGATGGCGAGGATCGTCATTAAAGTAGCGAAATAACGCAAGTCAAATCACGCAAAACCGAAAAGATGAGGGAAAATAGATATCGACCGATATGCGTATTTGTTGACTCGAAATGGTATTCACTTGTGCGTCTTTCGTGCTAAAAGTAGATAATTGCCTTATACTCTTCCAAAGTTCTCAGAGAGCGCGGTTGCGCACACTGGGCGATTCATTTCGTCTTCTAAGCGACGAGTAGTCTAATTAGATAGTACAGTTGTAACCATTGTTATCCACATCTATGGAAACCACGTGAATCGAAGCGATACATACGTAAGCGATATATGTATTCGCGCGCATAAGTCGAGCCAAGTCTTTTTAAACGATGAATCTAGGGGATTGTTGACTCAGATGTCGTGTAAAACCGATAATTCGTTTGTCAAGATCGTGTATCTGTAGCTCTCGATCGACGTGTAACTTGCCTACGTGTGTCAGCGATGCGGTATGATGCGTCTAACTTCGCCTAGTTATCCGAGACGTGAGGTATCGAGGTTTGCAACAAATTGGCCTTCACAGAGCGCCTTGACGAGAAAATAGTTTACTCGGTGTCCGCGTTCGATACTTTGTTACGTGCTCGAGATATTTCAGAGCCGTCTCATCTAAGGACTACCTATCGTTAGAATAATTAAGAGACCAGTCATAAATAGTATGAATAGATACGAATAGACGAGAATTTAAAAGAAAATAAGTATAAGTGCGCAACACGTTAGCTTATTATATCGTGCCTGAATTTATATCAAGATCAGACCTGAATACGAAGTACACAGAAATAGCGTTCTACCGCAATAGAATTGGAATAGTAGAATATCAATACCCTGGGACCATTGTACACTTGTAATGACTGCTAGCAGTTAAATGAAAAAAAGAATCCGATATAGGTTGATATAGCAGCATTTATTAAACTTCGGTGTTTATAGTTCAGAAAAGGAATGAAATATATACTGTTGCACTATACTGTTTCAATCGATGATCAACCGTAGGAACGTGATCGTTCGTTCGAATTTAGCAAGTTTTCTATTGATACAACATGTGTATTACAGGACATTTTCTATTGTTTCGGAAATTGAGTAAAGGTAACCGTGATAAATTTGAAAATAGTTGTAATGTAAAATTCTACGAAACAATAAAGAAACTCGTTAGTAAGTTGACGTATAAATGTAAACATAAATTCTAACATTATCGCGTTAATTGCATTAAATTCCGATTTGTGCAAACCAATCGTAATATTTAGGACTATTATCATATTGGAGCAATTAAAATATTAAATATATTTTATTCAACGTCAATAATATACGTTTTCTTCCACCATCATAAATTTGCAGAAAAATAACAACAAATGGAAACGTGTTAGTTGCAGTACAACCTCGATTATTCGACTATTCTTAAATACACATTCCCTTATCCATAGTTCAATATTGGGTTAAAAAATAAAATAAAAAAATATGCAACTTTCTCATATTTCGAGTATCTCACAATATTTCGCATTTCGCATGATTATATAGTGTTACAGCATTCTACCGACAAAGAGAAAACGATGAATAAAATATCGTGTAATTAAATATCGCGTTATTAATAATAATGTTCGTCATCAGTGTGAGTTTATATAAATCAACTTGTACATTCCCAGATAAAGGATATAATCAATACATGTAACGCGATTCGAGAATAACAGACATTTCAGTAATCATCTCCGCGAGAAATAACTTCTTTACACGTTGGACGTAGAACGAGAGTATGCTCGAATTGAGCAGTGTAACATCCCTTGACATCAACCAAAGGTGGGTAAGCCTCTACGGCACCTTTATCACATAGATCCTTCAGAGCCATTTGATACTTTGTGCAACCAACACGATCTAACCATCGCTTGCAGAAAGCCAAAGTACCTGTTTGTTATAAATATATAGTTTGTCGTTTTACAATTTGTTTCTATTTCTCGACAAATAAATTATTCATTGGAACCAGTTGATGAAATGATATTTACCGAAATGCTTGTTGATGACGTTAAGTAGCGATTTACTGCTCTGTAATCTCAGTGGGACGAAACCAGCGTCAAAGCTCTTCATATAATGAGAACAATCTAAATCATCGTGAACGATTCCTCTCCCAGTAGATCCGAAAGTTTCAATGGCATAGAATTCATTTTCTTCCATCCTGGTAGCTTCGCCCCCTTTAACTATCGGTACAGTTTTTCCAGCGTGGATACGATACGGAGCAATCGAATGACCATTAAGATTTCTTATCGATTTCACCTAAACATGAATTACCGATAAAGATTCCCGATAAGATGATTATAATCGGAATAAGATAACATACAGGATAAGTTTTGCCGTCTAATTCAACTTCGTACGACTCCATAACTTCTTGAATTGCAGCACCAACGTCACATAACTGAACATCAATACCAGCAGCCTTAATTCCAGTATTTGTTGCATCACGAACCGCTTCGATGAGTTTGTCGTATTTCGGATTGAATGCTAATGTAAATGCACAGTCGATGATTCGTCCGTTAATATGTGTACCAAAGTCTATTTTGGTTACATCGTCATATTCTAAAACAGTTGGATCTCCAGCGTTTGGAGTGTAATGAGCTGCACAATGATTTCTTGAGCAGCCAGTTGGAAATGCTAGCCCAGCTTTTAATCCATCTTCTCCTATTAATTTTCTACCCGTGTTTTCCAACTCATTGCAAATTTCTATCATTGTCATTCCAGGTTTCACCTGGAAATAAATTATGTTTTTGCGTGAATTGCTTTCTCCAATTACATTCATTTCTGCTACATACCCATTTCATAATATGTTTCCTTGTTTGCCTATGAGCCTCAGCTGCCTGCCTTGCTTCATTGTAGATATCGTTATGCATTCTATCGAAAGCACGTGCTTCTTCGCTAGAAAAACGATCTTTAGCTGTTCTGTCATCTATTCCTGCAGCCGAAGGATGATCCATTATTTGCCCAATTGGAAAATTCCCATCTGGGAACAATTCTGATACAGGAATAGTCGGAGGATCTGTTTGTTGCTTAGGACCCCCAGCTTTTCCACGTGATTTACGTTTCTTTTTCTTTTTCTTAGCATCGTCTGTTTCTGCATCATTTTCTGTTGCATCTATGTCACCTTCGTCATACATATAAAATGATTATCTTTCATACGAATTTAAAAACAAGTTACCTTCAGCATTATCTTGCTTTGGTTTGTCTTCTTCCCCTTCCGGAACATCTGCACTAGCTTCACCAGCTCCTAAAAAATATTTAACAGAAAGTTATGAAGGTGAAAATATTAGTGCAAAAAAAATACAATAAACACAATTCAAAATTACATTAAATAAAATTTTCGTTGTACATAATAACTTAAAAATAATATTGATTATAAAACTAAAAGTAATTGTAAGTTTTATCATAAAATTCAATCACTTTGTGTAAAGCAAAACTTTAGTCGTGAGATAGTAGGAAGTAGGAACAGGTGCGAAGTAACTTCTATGTGTACATTGCGTCGCTCATGGACACGTTGTGTTGTGTTCATTAGTTGCTACTGTAACACGTAAATACAAAATTGTATAACGTGAATGTGCATCGTCATGAAACAATTGAAAGGGAATGTTGCACGCGTACGCATATTTATTTTCAAAAGCAAAATATCGAAACTAGTGTGAGACATATGATATCCCCAAACTTGCGTAAACGGGTATACACTGAACAATTTATGAAATGGCGTACCAGCTTTCTTCTTCTTTTTCTTCTTTTTTTTCTTCTTCGAAGCTTCCACTGCGCCAGTTTCATCTTCCTCGTCGACCATTTCGTCTTTTTCTTCGTCTACCAATTTTTCGGCAGACTTGCCGACTTCATCCAACACGGCAGCCATTTTCAAGAGGAGACCAAACAATTTTATGTCATTGACGATGAACAGTATAGATAAAGCACCTCGTGGCAGTTGTGTTCCATGTTTTGAAATATCGACTGGAAAAATCGATTTCTCAGTGACTTGTTGTAACGAATTACAGAAATTTCAATTTAATTGTTAAAAGCAATAAACTCTATAGCTAGGAAAAATCCACGTTGCATGTCTGAGAGCTAATTGTAGTGATAGACTGCTTTTTATTGCAGCATGTGTATTATTTTCAATTATTATTCGCGAAACTTTGTACGAAATGCGCATGCAACGATTTCAACTTCAGATAAAGATCGCAGGGCCAATGAAAACGGCCAAATACAGAATATACACATTTCGATTTTCGAACAGAGAATCGATATTTCTCGATAGCGAGAAATCTCCAGTAATGTACGTATACGTAACGTACTTGTTCGTGTTCATTACGGGCGGGAAACATAGCACGAAGAATTATCTAAAAATCCAAGCAAAGAGTATAGTTAACAACTTTTAGATTTGTTTCACCATTGTTGAGTACATTTGCAATTTAGAATAGTCAGAATTATTTAGTAAAGTTATTACCTCTATTGAATTTGGTTCGTTGTTGGTTAGAAGTGAATATGAATAATTTACATAAGTGGTTTGTGAAAGTATTTGAACATATAGCACAAAAAAATTACAATCGTAATCATATATAATCGTAAACATTACGATTGTGCTGACAAAATTTTAAATTTTAAAATTTTTTAATATTCATGGTTACGTATATATGTGTCGGTTATCGCGAAATCTATGCTTCAAATGGATGTAATGTTTAATAATCGTATCAGTGCACACTGCAAATACATTTTATTTCAACAAGTGAAATTAGCGGATGTTCACGTATAAATCGGATTCGACTCGTATATGCTCGAGCGCCCCTCCCTTCCTTACCATTCGCCGGTTAGTTCGCGACGTGTTGTGCGGGGGGGAGTAGTAGACTGTTGAAAATCGTGGTGTTAAGATATATTTCTTCGCGCGTGACATTTATTAACTGCATAATACTTTCATCGCCATTTTCTCACTTCTCATATCCACGCTATTAGTAAGTATGTTTAATTGACTTACGTTATTATTCAATAATTTATCAAATATTTATACACTTTAGATTTTCATTTGTATAGATTGTCGGTGAGTGCAAAGGAAGTATTAAGGGGACACCATGAATTTCACAAGGACGCCATGAAATTCAAAAAGAATATTATGGTGAGTTATGTAATCTAATAGCTTTTCAGGGAATTATGGAATATTTGATTCATTCTGAAGAAAATAGATTCTCTCTTCCTTCGGAGAGAAATATTGTCACGATCAGGTTCAAATATGTTGCGCGCATCACGTTGGTTCAGTACTGCGCAGGTTTGTTTAACAGACAAGCACGCCATATTTGATTATTTTAAAGTATATTGAAACTCTAATGACAGATATTCAAAGTAAAATTTTTGCACATAGTTATATCACATAATATTTATAAACATTTGGTAATATTAAGAAATATTTTACAATAGATATTAATATATTAAATATATTGATTAATTTTTGTTTTAGTCTGTTTTTTTAAATAAACGAATAATTTATTTTATTTATTTTATTCTTTGTATTTTGTTTAAACTATTATTAATTTCTATTATTAATTTCTATTAAAATAAATTCTTCAAGCTTTAATATAAAAAATAAATGTTTAATTATTAAATTTTAATTATTAAAATTTCAAATTTAAATAGAGTTTTATTTTTTATTATCCTAAATTTTTTAAGCTATTAACAATATATTTTTTTGTTACAGGTATTCTTTAATCCTCACTTTTTTCATGGTGTCCAACGTTGCTATTTAATGATGGATTTCACTTGGACCACGATTACATCAATAATGATGGTCTTCACGTAAGTCATATGCATTCTTGTTTTTCCGCTTATTCAATCATGTCGTAGGATGAAAGGTCCAAATCGACATAGATGACTGTATTATGTAGAACTTTTGATGAGTATAACGACTGCGGATATTTACTAGTGAATAGTAATATTTTATTTATTAATTTAGGATAGAATCTTCTTGCATATCACGTTTTCTGATGGTGATAATTATACATTAATAATTAATATGAGTGATATGATAAAATGAATTCTTCTTCATTTTCTTTATCTTGTTTTTCCTCTTCTTTTTCTTCTACTTCTTGTTCCTCTTTATCACGCTCCCTTCCTTTTTTATTTTTCATTACCTTTTCTTCTCCTATAAAAGCATTCTCCGCGGTTTATTTTAAAAATTATCAACTTTATATGGACTTATCCGATTTCGGTAAATTAGACAACGACAATACCGACACTGCAAAAAAGTAGTTTTAGAAGTTTCGCGCTCTGCCGAGAGATGGTGCTGGCAGCGAGCTCCCGGCATTCCACGGGTGGTTCGAAATGGGAGATGCGCGCGCGTTCGATAAAGACATGCGCGAGACAAGCGGCCGCAGTCTCGACAGTCAGTGCATGGCGGCCCGAGGCCCATCGATATCGTATCGCGTAGCACTCGAGATACGCGTTCGAGTACACGAGTGCGTCCGTGGTTTACCGGGGAAAACTTCCCTCGTCCTTCGACCGCTCGGTTGCAAGAGTACCGCCGTTGTAGTTGACGTCAGTGCGTGACGCTTGTGTGACAGGATTTCTCGTCCTTGCTGGATCTCGTGGATTCGCCGGTGAATCGTCAGACGACAGCAAGTGAACACGGACCAATCTCCCGGTGAATATTCACACTCAATAATATTTTAATTCGCGTGCGCGACCATTTCTCGAACCATGCTACGGCTTTCACCCCTTTTCACTGTAACCGTGCAATTACCGATTGGAGCAACAGGATATTTTCATTTTCTATAGTGATGTTTCACTATTTTTTTTTTTTTCAATTTATAAATTCCTCTTTTTCTCTCACCGATGTCACCAGTATGATATCGACGGTGTTTGACTGAAAGGATAGGAACGGAATTATTATTAGGTCGCATATTCCTCAGACAGTTGCCATATTAACGTGGATGTCCTCGGAGCACGAGGGCGGCGTGTCCGCTCGGCACGAACAAAGTAGTTTATACCACCATAGGATGACGTATCCGGCAACGGTGGTCAATGATCCGGAAAATATCGAAGGGACAGACGTACAGGCTCGGTGTCACCGGCGCGGATTTCTCGCAGATATCTTTATTTCCCGTATTTCTCCTATATGCGTGCTCCTATATTTCTGACTCTCTTTCAGTTCCTTTCTCTCTCTCTCTCTCTCTCTCTCTCTCTCTCTCTCTCTCTCTCATCTTCGTGATACCGATGTCCGTGTGAAGCCCACACCCGCAGCGTTGCCAAACGCTACAGGTGTGGTCATTGACTTCGATCGAAACATTTGTTGTTGTTACTCGTCCAATGCGAAAAACAGTATCCACTGCCAATTTTTCCCCCCATTTTCGAGTTGAATTTTCACGGCGAGCACGAGACTCGCGTATATGTATACCAGTAACATCACTTTCACGGCTCTTGGCCAGCTACGTGGGCGAGCGGGCATGCTCGATTCGAGCAAACCGAACAAGGTTAACGCGGACGGGCAAGGTTAACGTTAATTCGCTCCGCGTCTACACTTTTCGGAGTACCGTAAGAGGTTCCCGAGGTTATCGCGGGCAGTTTCAAATCACCGTATCTCTGTCATCATCACGTGCGCGTGCATGTTGTACAATAGATCAGAAAGTAATCGCGTTGTGAAAGGTAGAAAATCGTCTTCCGAGTACGACTTGAATCTTCCTTCGGAAAGTAAAGGATCATCCACTTTTGGACTTTCTAAAAAAAAAATAACTTCTTGCCTGAAACAGAAGAAAACGATCACGTAACATTTCTCTTACTTACGTACGTCTCACGACTCACTTCAAAGTTTATCTTCCTTTATCTCTTGCGTTCGTAATGTTATCGGCAATTTGCATTTCTCACGTGTCTCAACCTCGTACGTTTTTAACAGCATTCTAACGCTAAAGGTCGTTGGGTTTGCTCGTGTTCGTTGTCTTGACGCGTGTAGTTTTTCTGGTAAATGTAATAGGATTCCCTCGATTCGTGCGATCAACTGGATGAACAAGCAATCTGCACGAAGCGAACGAGGTTAACGCGGAAGAACAAGGTTAACGTAGGCGACGCCAGATGCGTTTCAGCGACTCGGTTGCCTAGTCTTATCAGTTGAAACGTGTTGGGTACCGTTGCTTATCAATTCACGGTTGGAAACAGAAGTTCCCAGTGAGCTTGCATCGGCTTCGCGTTTACCGGAAACGGAAACGATACGTCGCGCGATTCCAGGTCTCGTTCGTTCGCGTTTAATTGATTCGCGATAATAACGACGACGACGGATATATGCGAGCAAGAAAAATGACATAATTATCCATAGTGACATAACGTGTCTAGTATTGATCCTGCGTGTCAATGAATTTTCACCGAATTACGTTATATACGTCAGAATCTTTCGTTGAAAATTATGCGTGACACAACGTATTGTGATGCTGATTCTGCGTGTCGATGAATTTTTCATCGAATTACGCTATTTCTAGAATTTTTCGTAGAAGGTTATTCGGTGCTCGTTAGAAAAAAAATCCTCATTTCAATTTCAATTGAATCGTCATCTTCGTCAACGAAAAAAAAACCACGAAATATTCGCGTCGTTTGATGTTAATTCATCGAACCGAGTCTGAACATTGAGTTCTTCATTCGAACATCGAATATTCATACCCACTTGTGTTTTAAACGTACCTTTAACGTGAATATCGAATAGTCGAGTTACTTCGTACGTGAAATCGTTATAAGTGATCCCTTTGATCTAAGCGAGCCGAGAGATCATCCATTTAAACGCAATTCGCCGCGATAATGCCTTCTGTCTCTTGCGTCTCTTCGTCTGGTAGATTTTTACGATCGTATCGGAAAGGAGTAACGGGGAGATAGATGCACGCGTTGGAATTACAAGCGTGGTCGTTAAATTTTACATGTACATGGCGAAGTACGAGCGAGAGGCGTCGAAGGCGAGAACAATAGGTTAGTGGTGACCGGTTGGTCGTAGAGGGAGAACGAAATCCTCTCTGCTGCACGCTTTTTCTTTCGCTCGATTGTTTCGTTCTTCTCACTCTCGTCGAGAGAGCGAACAGAAGCATATTTATGTAGGTAGACCAAGTGAGAGTGCTCTTGTCTCGAGAACGGTCACTCGAGTGGCGAATTAGTGGAGTTAGCGACACCGTTTCTTCCCTTTCTCTCTTGGGCCCCTTTGCTGCCGATCGCGATTTCTGCGTACCCTTTGATCGTCACTGCGATACCAGCGACGACGTATCTTTCTGTTGACAGTCGTGTGAGGTAGTATCGCTGGAAGAAAACTCTGGAAGAAATTTACCCCCGTTTGAATGAAAGAAGATAAAAAACAGAATAAAAAACATAAAAAACAGAATGCATCGACTCTGCAAAAAGCTCACCAAACCGACTGAGACACTTGAATCGTCACTTAGCTGCGACATCGAAACTTCATAAGAACCGTAATCGCAGCATAATTCAAATCTATAGCCCCTCCAAATACATTATGAAAACAATAATACAGTGGAACATAAACGGTTACTATACCCATTACGAACAACTCCAAATTCTCATAAATAATTTCAGCTCTGATATTGAACAAATTTAAAAAAAAAAAGTACCAGCCTACTCTAAAACATTTCAATACCTTCGTCAAAAACAGGGCAAACGAAAGCCACGCCAGCGGAGGAGTGGCCATTGTAATTTCGGACAAATATGATTCTACTGAAATCCCATTAAATTCAAACTTAGAAGAATGCCACACCACAGAAATTCAAAGACGGAATCAACGCAAACATAAACCTGTCTTCTCAAAATGACATATAAAAAGTATTAAAATATCTCAAAAACATAAACTACTACACACATATCTAATGGCACCATAGTCGCTAATGATCTCGCTGTCGATGGCGACATTAAAGAAAAATAGAAGAAGAAAAAGAAGAGGTATTGCGAATACGATTACTATACCGTTTCATATCGGTACATCTTTCACTGAACTGACAGAACTCTGAAGAATATTCACGATTTTCTCTCGATTCGATTCGTTTAACTTTTTAACAGGCCAAATTTCGCGACTGATTGCAAGATTTCGTTGCCCTTTCAATCTCACGTGAATATACAGGGTGTCATGTAACTTGTTGGTACAAACGGGAATGGTGGTGGAAACTACATGAAAAACTGAATAAAAAATATAGAATAAAATTTGTTCATACGAAGCTTTGTTTCTGAGAAAAATGGCTTTGAAAGTTTATCGAGCACGCGTGCACTTCGATCAAGATTCAACTCAACGGATTTCATTATTATCTCTACTAATACAATTTGTAAACATTCCCAATGTTCGTACGCGAGGGCACAGACTGTTTTTTTAAGTTTAAAAATTGTTGGAAGCGATGTCCACGTTGCCGCATGCATAACTGTGCTCTTCTCATTAAATTGCTACGAACATTTTCTAACGGGTTGTTTTGCAGTTTCAATGTTGCAAACGCTATAACAATTTTTTCTATTAATTGTTCGACGTTCGCTATGTCGCTAGAATACACCATAGATTTAACACGACTCCATAAGTAAAAATCCAGCGGTGACCAATGTATTCGTGGTGGCCAAGGTATTCTTCCATTGCGGCCGATCCAATATTGATAGTTTTCGTTTAAAAAAATTTCTCGCTTCACGACTGAAATACGATGGTGCTTCATCTTGTTGGTAAATTAAATTTCTTCGAATTTCAAGAGGAATATCTTTCAATAATTGAGTTGAATCATGATCAAGTGCACGCGTACTCGATAAACATTCACAGCTACCTTTCTCGGTAACAAATTTTATTCCATATTTTTTATTCACAGCTACTTTTATTTACAGCTAATTTTATTCCATATTTTTTACATTCACAGCTACTTTTCTCGGAAACAAATATTTATTCCATATTTCTTATTCACAGCTTCCTTTATTTACAGCTAATTTTATTCCATACTTTTTACATTCACACAGCTACTTTTCTCGGAAACAAAGCTTCGGAAACAAATTTTATTCCATATTTTTTATTCACTTTTTCACGTACGAATCACC